GCAAAAAAAAGTATCCAAACTTGTATAGATTATAATGTCTGCTGCTAGTCAACCTTGCCTTATTAAAAGAACATGATCTGCAGAGGCGATAGTGTGGTCGATCTGCCAAAAGAAGACGAAGAGAGAAGAAGATAAAAGAGAGGAAATAGATAAAAAACACGAAGACTTAGACGACTTCACTAACGCCTCTCAGGATCTCATATAAAAGCCCCTCGAGGAGAGAACCGGAAGTAAACAAGATTCCGGTTCCTGTAGTTCTACTTAGATCTTATAAGTAGGTTTAAAAAAAAAGTGTTATAAGTCAAGGATATAAAACCTTTATACGTAGATTCCTACCCCAAATTCTCTATATGTGTTAAAGAAGTGAATGTAGCATAGATTCGAAGACTGTTTGCAACACCTTACGTCACTTATAAATACATTGATTCAACAAAACCTATCCATATTGTATCATTTAAACGTATACCATTTTTTTTTTTTTTTTTTTTTTTTTTTTTTTTTGCTTCAGGTGATGCAAACAGATTCATTATTTTGTTACATTTAAAAAGCCATATATTACTTAGATTTATGCAATTTTTTTTCCTTGCGTGGAGACCCAATAAGAACAGATTCTGTAATATACTATGACAGTTCTCTTTTACGTATCATGATTGTGTTTAATGACATTATTTCAGTTATTGTTTTTGGCGATATTATTGTGACAGTGATAATGGTTAATATTGGTACTAGTGATGATATTTATTATCGTTTGTTATCATGATCATCGTTTTTATTATTATGAATATAACTTCTATCATTACCATTGTTTTATAATCAATAATAATAATTTTATTACATTATATTATTATATATTATTATCATTATCAATATATTATTGTTTATTATTATTATTATTATTATTATTATTATTATTGTTATTATTATTATTATTATTATTATTATTATTATTATTATTATTATTATTATTACCATTATCTTTTTATTATTATATATTATTATTATATTATTATCATTATTATTATTGTTATTATTATTAATTATTATTTACATTATTATCACTTATTATCATTGTTATCAGCATCTTTATTACTATAATTACTATTATGACTTTTATCATTTTATCCTCATCTTCATTAGTATAACTATTATGCTTATTATCAACATCTTCATAATGAAGAATGATTATTATTGTCATTATTACTACTGTTATAATTACAGTCTTTATTATCATTATTGTTTTTATTATTATTATCCTTATTGTTATAGTTATCATTATCATTATCATTAATATGGTGATTACTATCATCATAGTTATCGTCATTATCATAATTATCTTCATTATTCTCATTATTATTATGATCTTTGTTATGATAATTGTTATCATTATAATTATTATTATGATCATAATTATTATTATTATTATTATTATTATTATTATTATTATTATTATTATTATTATATTATTATTATTATTATTATTATTATTTATTATTATTATCATTATTATAATTATCATCATCATCAGTGAAATTAATATTACAATACCCGCTATTATTGCTATCATTAACACCATCAACAGCACTGCTATTATCATCACCATCAATATCATCAGTATCATTATCTTCCTAATCATTATTTTTATATTTCATTATTATTATTATTATTATTATATTATTATTATTCATTATTATCATTATTATTATTATTACTATTCTTATGTTTATTATTATTTTTTATTATTATTATTATTATTATTATTATTTATTTATTACCATTATTATACTATCATTTTATTTTAGTTATTATTATTATCATTATCATTATTATTATCATATTATCTTTTTAGTCATTATCGTTAATATCATCATCATTATTATTCTTATCTTTAGCATCATCATCATAATTATCATATATATTTTTATTATTTATCATTATATTATATTCATTATTAATAGTATACTTGAATTACTATCATTTTTTGTCTGATCTTTATTACTACAATTACTATTATCATTTTTTGTTATTATTGCAACTAATACTGTCATCAAAATTTTTGTAGTTTTTTATTTTCATAACTATACTTGCTATCATTGTCATTAATATCATCATTTTTTATCATTATCATTTTCAGTATGATTCTTATTATAATATTTATTATTGTTATTATTATTATTATTACATTGTTATTATCATTATTATTATTATTATTATTATTATCATTATTTTTTATTATTATTATTATTATTATTATTAATTATTTATTATTATTATTATTGTTATTATTATTTATTATTATTATTTATCATCCATTAGCATTATTATCATTATTATTATCATTATTATTATTATTCATTGTTATTGTCATTATCATGGATTATTATTATTTATATCATTATTATCATGTCTCATGGATTTTTTTTTATTATTATTATCATTATCATAATCATTTTTGTTCTGTTTATCATTTTTATTATCGATATTTTTTTTGTTAATATCATAATCATTATCTTTATTATCATTATTACGATCATTATTGATATTATCATTAGTGTTAATGATATCATTATAATTATCA